CGAATAAAAGATAAATAATAACACTTTCGCATTAAAAATGCGGTACTTTATCTTTTATGTTTATCTTTTACAAAGTCAGTTATTGCAATTTTCTTGTATTCTCCTTCAACGACTATAACACAACAAATTACTGTGATAAATGTCCCCCAAGACTTCTAGAGTTAAAATTGGGTATAAAGATTGTTACAACAGCAGATCTGCTTGAAATGTACGGGCTCTTATTGACGCTCAAACAGGAGGGGGGTAACTGAGAAATGACGCTATTAACTATATCACACATTTTTCAAGGAAATGTTTATGTTAACAAATTCATTAATCGCCAATTGAAAACAGTTTGAAACTTTCTAAATCATACATTTCTGGCGCATTTTGAATTGAAATGACGCTATTAACTGTATCTCACAGTTTTCATAGAAATGTTTATGTTAATTAATTCATAAATGGGCCATTGAAAACAGTTTTAAATTTTCTAATTCATACTTTTCTGCCGCAATTTGAATTGAAATGACGCTATTAACTGTATCTCACACTTTTCATAGAAATTTTAATGCTTAAAACATGTTGAGACTTTGGGAAGCTGGGAAGCTGAGAACCTACTGTCGGTTGTGTATGTCAAAACATGTTAAACAATACTAAGTCTATGCTCCTTTCTGAAGTACAAAACTTCCAAGTACATGTACCTATTTTACACCTCAACACATTTCACAGAGTATAGAAGTGGTGTTCTCTAAACTTCATTAATAATGCAATATGAGAAGAGATATCGGAGCAAATTGCAATGTGCTTTATATATAATGTAGTGTTATGTAATTGAGTTCCAAGGACTGAGATTATCGAAAGTTGATTTTGAATCTGAAGGATAATATGTTGAAATGAAAGATTCTGTTTATCTACGTACTTGCAGAACACAAGGGATATAGGGCAGGGATACAGGGCAGGGAGTGAGAGAGTGAGTGAGTTAAGATTTCACGTAACATTCGTAATACCTCAGCCATATCGCGACGAAAACAATTTATACAATAATGATGAGTAAAACCTGTCGACGATGGACATTAAAAATACTAGAGTATCACATATTTGAATGTAAAACTAGTATGTAAAACTAAAACATTCTATTTAAAGAAGACAAAACAATATAAAACACGGGCTATAGATCGCCAAGGTATATCACCAGACTAGGGACCATGGGGACTTACAGTGCCTTTGCTACCTGCATGGACCACATAATCAAGTGAATATATATGCACATACACACACTAGGAAGGGTATTATATATCATATACGACATTCCCATTTAGAACGACTGACTGAGTTTGTTTTACGCCGCTTGTAGCAATATTCCAGCAACATCACGGCGGGGAACACCAGAAATGGGCTTCACACATTGTACCAATGTGGGGATTCGAACCCGGGTCTTCGGCGTGACGAGCCAACGCTTTAACCACTAGGCTACCCCACCGCCCGATTTAGAACGAGGAAACCAGGCTAAAACTATGACAATTGTCATAATAACCCATCATAGATGATGTACAAATGTAGTTGCAAGATGCTACAGCACTTCAAATCTGCCCTTGAATGTTCCCCCAAAGGGTTCTTGGAGAGCTGACATCGATAGTTTGAACACGATACTTGCTGTCAGCACTGTCACAGTGTGCTGGCACTTTGAAACTGGCATCACTGAAGACAACGACGTACAAGCACACACACGGGAATCGCTCATAGAATTTAGAAAGTGTTTATGAAGGATTTACACATCTTCTGTTTCCAAGGTATAACTAATAATTATGATAAGAGGAGTCAGTTAGTTAAGATTTATAGTCATATCGGCAATATTTCAGGCATAACGTGACTGAAACAAGCCATATATTGATAATATATTTAGTTCGATTTTATAATCTGTGCACAAACGACAGAAGCACAACTAGAATATCACAGTGAGAGTGCTATTTATAACTAGCATGCATATGCCATTATTTATGACAGTGCAATATAAGCACACACTCATGCGCATTTTGTAGTTGGAATCCAAGAAACAACCGCAGATGTCACATTTTCACAGACTGACTGACTGCAAGCTAGCTGCCTAAAATCTAGGGTAGATTGTGTATTCATGAAACCGTAATGAGTGAGTGAGTATGGTTTTACGCCGCTTTTAGCAATATTCCGGTAATATCACGGCGGGGGACACAAGAAATGGGATTTACACATTCAACCCATGTGGGGTATAGAACCCGGGTCTTCGGCGTGACGCTTTAACTATTAGGCTACCCCATATACCTGAACCGTAATGAAGAAGATCACCACAATAGTCCCGGTTAGAGTGCTGTACCAGCTGTAGTGCACACCTAAATATAATCATAAAGCGTGACTCTTAAGTCTTAAAATTGCGTGTGCGACATTGTTGGTTGGATCAAAGAAAACCAGACATGAATTATAGTGACAATATTTCTAAAGTTTAGCAGTTAACAAAAGCAACAAAACCATTTTCAAAATCATAATAGACATCTGCCTGACTGCACATTGATAACCTCGCGTAGAATGTCGATGTCACCATGACCCACCGGTGTCACAGACAACTTCCTATTCAGTGGCCAACTGTGAAGCCGAAACAATATCTGCACATTGATTACCTCGCGTAGAATGTCGAGGTCACCCTGCCCCACCGGTGTCACAGACAACTTCCTATTCAATGGCCAACTGTGAAGCCGAAAGAATATCCGCGAGGACGCTTGGTTCAACTCATGGGGGAAGACCTTTTGAATTTTGATAAATCAACTAATCATTGCAGTATGGTATGAAGTTACACTGTACACAAACACTGTCAATAATACGAAGTAGGTCCAATATATTTCAAATGTCTAGAACTCATGAGATATGTTGTATGACCAACATTTGTTTGGAATATGTGAAAATAATCATTTGCATCAGTTTCAAACCCTATTGAAACAGCTTCACATTTCCATTTCCGTCGGGTATGTTTATACTGGCTCTTGCTGATCTTAACGCGGATGTGAAAAATTTGGCCCCCTCGTTTCATTAATTTAAACCTGAATGAGTGCACTCGTGTGTACGAATATAAATATATACTGAGGGAAGAAAACAAGGGATCAAATGAAAGCACAGGTGTTCCTTTATTTGTTTCCAGGTTTCTTCACAAGTGATGCGATACAACGCTTGTGAAGAAACCTGGAGACAAATAAAGGAACACCTGTGCTTTCATGTAATCCCTAATTTATTTTCCCTCAGTATATTCCTCTTTCAATACACCAGTCACATTTATAGGATGATTCAGAAGAAGGTGGGATAAACACACATGCAAACCTGATAAAGCACAGCAATATCATTCAAAGGGATGGGTTGTTTGACAATAAACATCGGTAGACACTTTTGCTTTATCATCCTGTGTGTTCATTCAATGCTTCATTCAAATAACGTGCAAAATTGAATATGTCTGAAATCCTTTCGTGCCTAGCCTGTTGGAACTTTGCGTTGGCATAGAGGCCAACCCAGGAACGCGTGGTCGTCAGGTTCGGGACCATGGTAAGCAGACAAAGCTAGTATTCGACGACACCCATGCCAGTGATACGGACTGTGGAGACGAAGATGTGGCCGGTATGTTCAGGTTATAATGAAAAGACATGAAAGCTTTAGATATACAGTTAGGCAGGAAATCCAAAGAGAGCAAATACAGTTAAAAGATGAAAACAAGAGATTGAAGGAAAAGATAAATGAACTGGAAGTAAAGCTCGATAGAACAGAAGCACAAACCAGAAGAAATAATACAATATTTTATGGCTTGCCCGGTGTGGTGAATGAGACATGGTTAGGTGTTCAAGATTTTGTACGTGATTAACTTTGTGTAACAGACCCTAAAAACATTGTAACAGACCCTAAAAACATTGTTACTGAAAGAGTGCATCGAATAAGAGGTAAAACCTCACAGAAGAAATTGTTGGTCAGATTCCTGTCGGTTAAGATGCTTGTGCTTGAAGCTGCCAGAGTAAAGTTGAAGGACAACAAAAATCTCCGTGTGACAAAGGACTATACTGATCGGGTCCGAGCAGCGAGAAAATCACTTATTCCGTTCATGGTGGAAGCTAGGGGAAGAGGGAAGGGGCGTTTCTTTCCTATGACAAAGTAATCATCAATGACAAGGCTTTTGCTTTAGCTGGGGATGGCAGCAGTCCGGTCCAGGTTGGAGGCGGCACCGAGAAGCGAAGTGCCTATGGGAATCAGGCACAAGACGACACCCACAGGTCATTCCAATCTTAGATCTAATCTTAATTCAAGTAACTCTATTTATTTTTAAATATGTACCTGGAATGTTCAAGGACTTGTGTCTAAATCACAGAATGTAATGTTTATCGATTTTCTAGTCAAATTTTATATAATTTGTCTGCTTGAAACATGGCAACATAATATTGAAAAGATTAAATACAGATTTAATGATCATATACTACAAACAACAATTATGGGAACACCCTAAAATTCGCCTTCGGAACCGATTTACAACTGCCAGTGCAAAGTTGCCACATGCGGCATGAGAAGTCTGTCTTCCACATGCACCAGGCTGTTGTGTTTTTGGCGTTTGAATCAAATATGGTGCTGGTGTGTTTCAGCACCCTTGTATTTCGCTGTTTTTGACAAAGTATCATTTCACTCAAACTGAACGAATACTGAATCAGTTGCTTCACTGCTTGTTCCAACATGACGTTTAAAGTGCCCATTAAGCACACAAAAAGTTGCATTTACCTATAGAGTATAATTGACCTCACTACGTTTAAGTTTATATATAACTATGATTTTAGGGTGTTCCCATACTTTTTGTTTGTAGCATATATGTTCCATGTCACCTGCCAGTAGAACAAAGCACTTTGGTCGATTTTCAGGAGGCGTGGCGCAGTATGTACGGAAATCATACGCGCAGTACCTGACTAGAATCCATGACACCTGGAGCAACTGCGTGTCGTGTTCGTGGAACTGAAGTCAGAGGCCACAACCGTCATCCTGGGTGGAGTCTACGTTCTCCCCGAGGGCTCCCCGTTATACCGAGAGACGGACGACAACCGGACCGAGCAGCTGAACGGTAAGATCGCATGTATTACAACTGAATACGATCAGTATACCGACATTGTAATTTTCGGGGACATGAATGGATGATATAATTATTGAAGACCAAAGTGATAAACAATTTATTGATGTAGGAGAACTGTATATTATTGAACGGGTTTCAGAACCCAGAAAGCCACAAGGTGAAAAAGTAAACAAGTATGAACTACTATTATCATTAAGGTTGTGTAAGCTGCAAGATTTACATATTGTGAATGGCAGAAGATCTGGAAACACATGTGGTTCATTCACTTACATTGGACCAAATGGAACAGGTTAAGTGGATTACTTTTTAGTGTCAGCGGGTTGTTTTGATAAAGTGACAATATAAGTTGTTCACTGGTCTCGAGGTGACATGGGCTGATGTACCCTCGATGTGTGTTTATGTTCCCCTGAGCCCGAACCCATGGGCCCAGTGAACAGCGTATTTATCTTACCGAAAACCTCAATGGTAATTTTGAACTATTTGAAGCACGGGTATCGGATCAAGTATGGAATACCAGACGACAAGCAAAACAAATTTAGAGTTCTCCCTTCCATCGATTTGCATTCGCAAAACATCGGTAATTTCCGTACATCATATGTGATTCAGTGTTATTCGAGATAAAGACTTACTACTACGAAGTACCAAATGAGTTCGGCATTCCCAGCAGGGTACATGGAAATTTCTACTCGCTTGAAAGTGGGGTACATTAAAAATAATAGAGGAGCGCAGCCAATCAGAAAAAGACATTTATGTGTGAGGCTAGATAAATCTATATGTTCACAGCTGAACACAATATGACCATTAACCTGTTTCTTGCCAGTTCTCATTTAATCTATTCCTAGGTGTGAGTTGTCAAACAAGTTTGTCAAGTACCTACCCAATAACGAAATGTATCTGGTCCGACGAAGGTAAAAATGTTTATGTTGACAATTATAACTCAAGACAAGCATCAGAAATGATTGATAAATTCCTAGAGAGTGTAGCTGTGAATGTAAATGAAGCTGCTAAACAACTAGTTGAACTTATTCCAATGTCTGGAGCACACTTTCAGAAAATTTATAAACACCATGATCGGAGAATTCTTTCATTGGACAACCTGTGTGGTTTGACGAAGAATGTTCCATATTAACAAAAACGAAATAAGCTAAATTGCAGCTCCTCAGAATAAATAACTGTAAAGAAAACCTTGATAAGTGCATTCAGAGTAAAAGTAAGTTTAGAAAAGTTAGAAAGTTTAGAAAGTTAGGAGAAAAAGAATGCCTTTGGAAGGGAGAAAACTGATCGTGTAAATTTTAATTTCAGCGATTGTAAATCTTTCTGGCACTCGGTAAAATCCTTATTGAAAACTTAACACAGAGCAAGTAGCATCACACCAGAAGTTTGGTACCAGTATTATTTTAAGGATCTGTTAAATCCTGAAACAGAAATCAGTGAATTTGGCGAGTCTGTAGAACATTTTATTAAAGAACATGATCATATGAATTGTGAAGATTGTAACAATTTAACTATGTTGTCTGAAGACTGAAAATGAGATTATCAATGCTACTGATTCCTTTAAGCAAAATACGGCTCCCGGCATAGATGGAATTCCGTCTGAATTCTACAAAAAGTCTCCTCATCTTATCCTCATATTCAGTTACTTTTCAATTCCATATTGGAAAGTGAACTATTTCCTGATTCTTGGAATGATTCTTCCATTATTCAAAAAAGGGGATTTATCAGATCCAAATAATAACATGGGTGTATCGTTACTGAATGCCTTTACGCTGCATTTATTGACTTCCACAAGGCATTTGATTCGGTTGATAGAAATGCATTGTGGATGTAGACGAGGCTCTATGCTAAGTCCTCTGTTGTCCATGTTCTTTATAAAACAGCTGGCTGTTTATTTACAAAATGGCGATTCCAGAGGAAATATTTGTTGATGTTGATGTTGAAATTATAAAATTACTTCTTTTTGCTGGCGACATTGTATTAGTTGCAGATTTTGTTGCTGATCTGCAGAGAAAGTTGAATGCTTTAGGATTATTTTGCAATAAATGGGGATTAACTGTAAATATTGAAAGTCTAACATCGATGTTTTTCGTAATGGTGGTAAGGTTAAAAAGGTTGAGAAGTAGTACTATAAGGGCAACCAACTGAAAACTGTGGCGTAAAATAAGTATTTAGGTGTGATCTTTTCATCATGACTGTGTTGGTCAACAGCCTGTGAAACTCTTGCAAACCAAGCCTCAAAAAACTTGTTTTCCTATTTACCAGCTAATGACAAGATACCCAGATCTTTCGCTGAAGGTTATTTTGTCCATATTTGATACTAAAATTGCACCAATAGCATGTTATGACAGTGAAATATGGGGCTTTACGTTTCGTGAAAGTACAGAAAAAGTCCAGACTAACTTCTTCAAACACTATCTTGGTTTAAGTAAAAGATCTTCATCAAAGGCGGTTTTCGCTGAGATCGGGCGTTACAGCCTTTCTATACATTACTTTCGGCGCTGTATAAGATACTGGTGTAGGTTGATTAGCCGTTCCCGATATATTCATGAATACCTGTTGACAGGTGGGGAACATCCATTTTAAATCCCTTGTGATGAAAGAATCACGGTCAAGCATGTATGACTTGACTGCATTGATTTTTCAATCACAAGGGATAAATATTTCGAATCATCATCGATGACGGATCTCTGAAATAGTGTTGATTCTCGTTTAAGCATTAGCTTTTTAAAGGAAATCGTTGGATTTGTAAGGGAAATTGATTCTGTTGATACATTTTTATGTACATATAGCTAAATATTTCTTGGAATCGGTAGGGTATTATTATTAACTGAAATTGTTCGTGGCAGTGACCTCAACGGGGGATGAATTAATGTAAAGTTATTGTTCCAATGACAGGGAATAAAGTTGTTTCCTGACCTTCGTGACATGTTCTTATACTTTAACTATGTATTATGAATATATAAATGTTTTGGACACGGTATGGCTGAAACACTGCCAAAATTACTTAAAATCTTAACTCACTCACTCACTACTCTTGATGTATGACGTAACGGTATCTTTTGGGTACCCCAAAACTGCTGTGTCGGTATACGGTGAATCGGAGACAATTGCACTCTACTAACTGTGATTAAGCTAGAGGAATACATTGAAAACATCACTTGTAATTTTTGTATGACGAGGCATTGCTTACAAATTCACTTTTAAGGAAAGGACATATCTTTGATTTAAAAATACTTTAAGTTTCGCCGGATATCACGACACGTGTAGATTTCAGGTTTCTTCATCTCAGAAAGCTGCTCTGTTGAATCTCGAGAAAAATAATAGACCTAAAATTCGGTGTGTTAAAATATTCAATCGAATATGAGAAATGACGTTTACACACGTATAGCATCACTTAACGTTTATAAAAGCTGGCACCTTGTGTCTCACAAGTGAGCAAAGCGTTTGTAATTATCAGTTGATCTCCAGCTGTCACTTGTGTTGAACATTAACCTGTGTTGAGCCTCCCCCACCACACCCCAAGACCCAAATTCTTAGAAATTTGTAAGAGTGTAACAGAAGCAACTGAAAAGCAAACCTACCAGATGCGACCGAATACTCCACGAATCCTCCTCTAGCTCTGAATGCCACGCCTCGCCTCACCACGCCAGTATATAGCTGTGTACTGGTACGCTTCAGTTGCAATCTGTCACGTGACCACAGTTAATGGGCCCAACCTATACTGTATAGTAATAGGTCATATGTTTTGGTAATAAACATTAGTCAACGGGTTAATAAGAAGTGGGATGTGTATGTTAATGCATGCGTGCGTTCGACTGTGTGTTATACACCACACAAAGGAATAGTATTTCAAAATTTAAAGGTCACATGCAATGTAAAACACAACTTTGCAGATTCTGATACCTTTCGGTATGGACTTACCGAAACAAATCATCAAAAATGCAAATTCAACTTATAAAGTTGAAAAACAACGCGATGAAAAAACCCGCGCGAAATCGTAGCTCAAACGATTCACTAATTTTCCCCCAGCGCTTGGGGGAATTTAAGTGGTTTCAACAACTGGGCTGCGCTCATAATACGCGCAGTGAAATAGGTTCACGCAGCTTGGAAGCGGGTCGTCCGGTGAATACTCGGTGAAGGCTTTGGTGTGAGCTATTTTTCTAATGTTTTGTTGATATTTCACAGGCGCGAGCTTTTTATATGTTATGACAGTAGATTACTGATTTAACTGTTTATATAATTTCATTTGTCTATTTCACCACACGTTCTTCTTACCGAGTCACTTTCTCAGTTCGATACTTTAAAGCAATGTCATTATTTAGCGTTGACAGAATTTCTAACTGTGATATAGATATGTCTGTTTTATTGACACCTATGTGTCTGCCTGCTTGTCTGCTAATGGCAATATTCAAAACACAACTTCGATCACTGACCACATGCAATTTGAACTTAACACCTATCAGGCTATACACCATAAACAAAACGCATTGATTTATGGCCCGAGTTCGGTCTCTGTCACATTATGTAATTACACAGACAGGCAGGTGTGATACTTGTACACATGACATGTTATGATGTCTGTTGATTGCAAAATGTTATACACAAAAAAATGAGCATGATTTACAAAACCCAACATCTCTATATATACACACACAATGAGCCAGCCGTTACACTTGAGTGCACACCCACCCGCTCTGACTGGGTTCGGTATCCCGGCTGCTTTGTTTCTTGGGAAGTAAACCCAAGTACAAAATAATGCACTTTTGATTTGCGATTGTACGCTTATAATTTTGTTTATATGTTTTTTTCATAACCAGCAATGTATATTATATGTCATGAATAAAAGATAACTGTGTTTTAATTATGTTTGATTTTTTTGGTTGCATGTGACCTTTAACCATGCTAAGAAATAAGATGCATCATCAGAAGCCCATATAAACAATCGTTTAAATGTGCGTATAATTTGGCCGCCAAATTTACATTTATTATGCAGACCATGAAATAAACGAACATTTGGGAGACTATGGGCTAATAAGACAGATATGTGTAAATATGGTCATCGCTTTTATATAGTCATAACATGAGAAAAGTGAGTGAGTTAAAATTTAAAGTTACAAATATATCGTGACTAAAAACGTACTAGATACATGACAAACACACTGTTGAATTATAAAAACCTTCTTTGAATGGCATTTTAGAAGTTGAGGAGAAGTATGAGGACAATTTTTAGGATATACAACTTCTTTATTCTGTATAGGCGACGTTTCGACATAGATTCTAATATCGTTGTCAAGCAAGTGGTGACAACGACTTTAGAATCTATTTCGAAACGTCGCCTATATGGTGTATATTCATAAAAATCTTTTTAAAAACCTGTCAACAAGGGACAGTAAAAACCACTAGAAGATCACAGATGTGAATATAAAACTAATTAACAACAACTGAAGGTAGTTCACCATACTAGGGACCTTGGGACTTACAGTGCTTTGTTACCTGTATGGACCCTAGTTGGATTTACACCATCCCTTCAGTCGTTGGCGATTGTATATTACAGTTTAGCCAAACATTAAAAGAACACATATTCTACGATTAAATACACGTAGTATGAAAAACAACCTTTGAATGAAATGTGATTTACATACCTTCTCAGGGGAACAATAATCGATATATGTGTAGGAGGGTAGCTTGATCTCCCCACTTTGAATTAGAAACCACTTTCATCAGGTCAAGTGCTTTTGGGCATTTATATGTTAAGCATTTAATATGTGGTAAAAAAGTCAGATGAGAGTCAAACATAAGTCCCAAGGACTTGACCTCCTTCACAACCTTGATAGGTGTGCCATTTGAAAACAGTTCTGGGGCGATATGCGGCTGGTGAGTGAGTGAGTTTAGTTTCACGCCGCACTCAGCAATATTCTAGCTACATGGCGGAGGTCTGCAAATAATCGAGTCTGGACCAGACAATTCAGTGATCAACAGCATGAGCATCGATCTGCGCTATTGGGAACTGATGACATGTGTCAACCAAGCCAGCGAGCCTGACCACCCGATCCCGTTAATCGCCTCTTACGACAAGCATGGGTTACTGAAGGTTTATTCTAACCCGGACCTTCACGGGTCCTTATGCGGCTAGTACTTTCTACAGAAATGTGTACAATTAGTTTTTGATTTAGACAATCAAGCAGCTTTCAGTTCACCATCTGTGAATATTAAACGACTTTTAACTAATCAAATAAATATTGTGAGGCATTCAAAATGCAGCAGAAAAGTATGAACATTTAAAACTGTTTTCAATTGACCATTTATGAATTTTATTGAGACAGATTTGTAACTGCCTTCTCTTTTGTATGCATAGTTTAGCCACGACAAGAAACATTAAAATCATCCACAATCAGGGATCCATCTAATTAATTCAATAAAATCTTTGAAAGACAAAATACTACCTTGTGGGACACCCTGATCCTGATTGTAATGGTCAGACAGAGTTGAACCCACTCGGACTTAAAATTACCTGTCTGTTAAAAGCTGTGATATAAAAAGAGGTAAACGACCCCTTAAACCAAAATCGTGTAAATCTTTCAAAATGCAGTGCTTCGAGGTAGTACCGTGGGCTTTCTCCAAATCAAAGAAAATGGAGACTACACGCTGATATTATAGCATTTTTGACAAAGGATTCGAATCGTACTAAATGATCTATAGTACTGCGACTTTTCCAGAAACCACATTGAATATTAAGTTTTAGTTATTGGTTTCCAGACACCAAATTAATCTGTTATTAATCATTTGTTCCATGGTTTTACAGACACAACTCGTTAAAGCGATTGATCTGTAATAAGACGGATCAGTGTGATCCCGGAAAGGTTTTTGGCATAGGGACCACAATGGTATGATAGTATTTTGTTTTATTCCAGCATTTTATTTTGTAGGATGAAAAGGACCGAGCAGAGAATATCCTGACCCAGTGCCCGCAGACGGAGCCTGCCCCAAGCCAGTCAGGAAACCACTCCTGAAACGCCCAAGCCAGTACACTCCCTGCATATCGGATAAAAAGCAGAGGTCATCTCTTGTCGAAGAGAATATTGACATGTGTGTATTTAAACAATTACACAAATCAAACTAGATGCATTCTTCAAATTCAATAATGGAAAATACATAAATACCATAGGCCTAAATCATAATCGTGAGATAATTATTAATATTTCTAGAAATGTATGTATGCAAATGTATTTTACATAACTTCAATCAAATTTTAGGTTTCATTGCTATTTCTATGTCCTTCATATCTTTTTTCAGAGTGCCCAGAGTTTCCATTATCCCCTTAATCACTGTCTACATTTTTTGCGTCTGTTAGATGTATGTTTATTTTCATTATGTAGTGTAGTCTGTTCTCAGAGAGAATATTGACTTGTATATGTTTCACAAATTACACACATGAGTAGATTCATTTCTGTTTTTTAATGATGGAAAAATACATGTAAATAATATTCATAATGACAATAAATAATAAAAATCATCATAGTCATGTCAAACATTTTACATTCCTTTTTTTCAGACTGAACACGAGCAAGCCATCCACCCAGTCGACTGTTTCAGTTCAGATATTGTTACCCAATGACCAAGCAGAAATCAAGTCCACTGACTTCCTGATCAACACATCTACACAGACTGATGAAACATGTATGTATATATGGAGATTCTGTGTTCATTTATTCCTCGGTGGTTGCATTCTTTAGGTAGGATACCGCATGATCTCTGTAAAACATGGCTAGTTTCATTAACATTGACTGCATGAAAGCAATATCTGGAGTTATTCTTTCCACATGCATGTCCAGTTGAGTGAACACAATAAATCACAAAAACTGCACCCAGTAACCAATAACTGACATTGTACTTGTGCGTAGTGATGGTGAGATCTTTTCAAAGAAATTACACCATTTTCCTTTTTAAGGAAAAAGTCTAAAGCTTCACAAGCATTGTCAATGGTCATGTTACGTGCTGAGTAGGGACATTTGATCTCAACAATCCCACTTTCACCATTGTCACAAATCTTGCCATCAGGTGTTGCTCCAAAAAATGAAAACTCATTGTTTACAACAAACCCGCATTCGTGAAAATGTCTGTCTGGATATTTCTGATGGTACCTTGCCTTAGCATCCTTTTCATGTTTCTTCCCATATTCTAGTGTTTGTGCTTTTAATTTTCTTCTAGTGAAAATAGAGTTCAAGAAGCCATGATTTGGTCTTTTTTTCTGGACAAAACCTTTCCAAAACTTGATGCAGTTAGACGTTTCCTGCGTTCATCAAACCAGAGTTCATTTGACTGACTCTGTGTTTTCATTTCAAGAGATTTGGGATCCTTACAGATTGTATCTTCATCATTTAAATGAGCAAATTCCTGGGGAAGCTTCACTGGTGGTGGCAAGATAACACTGGTGTTCCCACATATGTGTGAAGTTGGTGTAGCATTCTTGATCTGAAATTATAAATAAATCATTTCAAATATTTTGTGGTTTCAGGGATATCAGTAATGGACATACTAGCTCTGGCAGCAGAAAAACATGATTTGAAGCAACAATTACAAGACAAGTCAAGAGAAATAAGAGAGTTGAACAACGAAGTGGCATCACATGAGAAGACAATTCAGGAATTGCAGAGAGAGCTTCAACAATCATCATTATTTGCCATAGATGTTGTGATCACAAAAATCAAAAACCTATTCAAACACTATACAGGTGTTACATATGTGAGATTTCTCACACTACTAACATTTCTGCTACCCCAAGGAGAGGACATTGATTATTCATCAGGGAGAAAAGACATCAAGAGACTTAAACCTCAGGATGTATTATTGCTTACTCTCTGTCGATTAAGGCATGGGTTTCGACTTAAGACATTGCAGTTCGCTTGGACTAAGTCCTCAGTCAGCAGGTATCATTCTCAACACATGGCTTGATCTGTTATATTTCAAGCTAGGGCAGATTCCAATATGGCCACACAGGGATGATATAATACAACATATGCCTGAAAAATATCATAGAGACTATCCAACAACATTAATTATCATTGATGGGACAGAAGTCAAAACACAGACCCCATGTGCTGTAAGTTTGCAAAGTCAAGTCTACAGTGATTACAAGTCCTCTTCTACTCTTAAGGGTTTGATTGGATGTGATCCAAATGGAAGCTTAATGTTTGTTTCAGAACTATTAACTGGTTCAATATTTGATAAAGCAATCACTGAACAGTTTGGGTTTTATGATGTCATTAAGTCGATGAAAGAAATTGGACACATTAATGAAGGTGATGGCATCATGGTTGACAAAGGTTTTTCTATCATGAATGAAGTTGAAAAACTAAGTTTGAAACTGAATATACCTCCAAAAGGAAAGACAGGAAAACAATTCAACATGGGAGAAAATTCATGTAGAGAAAAAGTGGCAAGGCACAGAGTTCACATGGAGAGGTTTATTAACAAGGTGAAACAGTATAAATTATTGTCAAATTGTGTTCCAACATCTCTATTCTCCAGGCTAAACAAGATTTGGTCTGTTTGTTGCCACCTGACATTATTTCAGGATGCTTTGTTTAAGTAATGGTGCATATCTAAGTTGTTGAATGAGGTCAAGCTACTACTGTATACAGCACCTCGTAATAAAACAAAATTTCAAACTCTTCTGAAATGTTTTTAACTTAGTTGCACCTCTTTGACATTTATCTAGATATATACCTGATAAGATCCAATTGGCACATCTCCCATAGGAGTTTGCACCCAAGGCAAATCATGTTGTGCTGTTCTATGCAGGAGTGGTGTGCCCTGTGGAGTTTGAAGACTTGCCATATCAACCCTTGGTAGCCTGAAATACAAAGATATACATACAGTTCATATACAAAAAAATCATCTTACAGTTGTGTTTGTAATATGAATTACACTTATCATTAAAAATGCAGATTTTCTATCATGAATAGAGAATTCCTTCATTCTGTATTTAGGTTACATAAGGGCAAGTAAATCAAGTAAAAATGTACAAATGTTTCATGGATATCTTGAATTATCAATTTTAGCAAAATGTCTGATGAAATAAGAATAAAACTATACTTGTAATTCATGTCAGTGTGGCATTGTATTGGCTTCCGCTTGCGTTGCTCAGTTGGTCTAGCAACCACAACCTGGCTGATAGGCACTGGCAAGATTTTGTCTCCCCTTGGCTTGTTCCATTGTTTTGGCATGGATGTGGAACTCAAATCAGATGGAATTTCTTTGAAGTTGTGGAGCTTGAATCCGTGCAATGTCTTGGTCAGACCTATTATATGGGAACACTTCCCACTTAAACTGAAAGAGAAATAGCAAAGATTACCAAATTTATTTAGCAGATTATGAGTAGATTTTATAGTTTACTTGATACTCAGTAGTCTGGTTCTAATAACTAAATAATGCCTTGATCATACAAATGTTCTAACCTAATATTTAAGATTTTCTTCAAGCATGGATTTATTGGGAAAATGTAGGACCAATAAATTGTGGTATATTTGCATTAATTCACTTTGACAATTTTATTGTTAGAAATAACTAAAAACTTCATAAACAACATTTGATATAGGGCCTCTCCCAATAATTAAAACCAAACGGTATTTTGACATTGACAAGTCTGGCCTCTACGTTCTAGACCCTTTCAAGATTGGGTGCACTATGCATCACAATAAATTAAAATCGTACGCACACATTTTCGTAACAGGTATAAAATCATCTCCGAAAATAGCAACTTACCCAGCTTTACAAGAGCAATAAGCATGTTTGATTCGGTCGACATCAAGGTCAAGTGACAGTCGATGAGGCGAGTTGTTTTTCCTGAGTGATGGCCAACACTTGGCGGATACCGTCGGGAACTGAAGTGTCACCTCATGCATGTAGCCTTGCTGGTAATAATTAAGTCCCGTTCGCATGCTCATAGTCGATATTTGATCAGCAATCGGTAAAAAGCACACGGAAGAGTTTTCTGGAATGCATGCGAGACAATTGCTTTGCTCGGCGGCGGCCATTTTGTTAGAAAGCGTGGGGAGCCTCGCGACAGTATCCAAGAGGGAGGGGCTTAGCGAAGATGCGCGGATCCATAAATACTTCAATGTTTCAGCAGACTATAATACAGGGCTCCGTTTCACAAAGCTATAGTAGCAATACGACTGTCATAAGTCTGTGTTACAGTATAGGAAGTACGGTTGCTACGAGATCTTATGCTTACGAGAGCTTTGTGAAACGGGGCTCAGGTGTCTACAAATCCAGATTTCGATGATCGACCCTGTTCAGGGCTTCAAGGATCAAGAGTATAGTACATACACATTTGGAAAGTGGTCAAGTGTAACGCGTGTTTTAGAAATTGTAATCCCATTATTCGTATGGGTTACGGGTTGTATGAATGGACCACTGAAAATCACTGATGACTCCAGATGTTCGCGAAAAGGGTAAACTTGTCTATCATGGCCCCAGACTTGTCGGAGAAGACAGGTTGGCATAGCATTTGCATTTGCACAGCTGCTTCTTGTGTGAAAAAACAACAAAAATCAATTAACTCAATCAGCAATGGTGCAAAAGTAAATAACAAACTTAAGAAAGATCCATGTCTGGGTTGTGTTGATAAAGAAATAAGCCGATGTATCAATGAAGGCAAGCCCAAAGCTGTCAGGAATAATGCAATATTGTGTAGGAAAAAGATAAATATAGCAAACAACAAACTCAAAGATGAAAGTGTTAAATATTCTGAAAAATTCTGGACATTTTTACAATTACTCTCAAATTCCAATGAGCGAAACGAAAATGATTTGCGGATGGTTCTTATCACTTCTATGCTAATCAATCTAACGAGACAACAACAGATATCCAGATTCTTGAATTACCAAATTGAGATTCCTTGTCACTTACAGAACAAGCCATCAGGTATGGATTAAGTTGTTGATAATATTTTCATAAAATCCATCAAACATTGGTTCGTAATTTGAACTAATCTATAATTGAATTTAAGGACATTATGTGAATTGGTCACTTGACATTATTATTCCGTTTCATAACAAGGCAATATCGCTGATACAAATTACTAGAGAGGGTATTGAGTGAACTGTTTCCATACACAGGCCTGGGGCTGTAGTGACCTAAATGCACATAAATTTGAACGTTTCCTTCAAATTAATTCCACTTGTATTTGTGGCTATGACTATGAGGATGTCATTCACGATCTTTTCATGTGTCCAAATTTTGCTGAAGTTCGATCAAGATGTTTCCTCTATGAAAATGGTTTTGATCTACAATCAGTTTTCTATGGAAATTGTTCATTTTCTGATGAAATTAATCAAAGTATTGTCAACTCTGTACACAACTATTTTACAACGTTTTATTTATCTTCTTTACAGACTTTACAAAGATACCTAACAAAAAGGGAATGGTAAATTATTGGTAGATTTTGCACATGCAAATGACTCTGGTCACAGAAGCACATAAACTCGGGGCACTATTTTGAAACATGTTGAGCAAACCAGAAAAATACTCTGCCGTAATGTAGAGGTGCGTGACAATATCGTATCGGCTTGAATTTCTGGTTTGTCGGGAATAGCACTTTATCTCACACAGCCAAATACGCTACACGAACAAATTCAGTTCAGCTCGTGGATCACGACTGTAAAATAATTTTTGAAAGTACATAATTGGAATATTATTGCACTGCATGTGACCTTTCTTAATAGTCTCACAGTGTCTGAACCACGTTATTTCTCCTTCCGCTCAGCCTTTGATGTAATATCGCCATACATGAACTTTAAAGTTGTCCACATTTGTCTCACTAACGCTAAGTAACAAACGATACGATAACAAACGATGCCATATGAAATTATATATTCAGTGAGAAATGAAAAAGAGTTTTTATTGTGTAGCGATTATAATCGGATAGCACTGGCGGGTGAGTTCTCTGATTATACCATGTGTAACTTGGACCTCCGTACGTCTTGTGAAATTCGTCTTGATTGTCCTGCTTAAATAGACGATCCTTTAACTCAGATTGCGAAAGCAAATGTCACACAAGTAAATGTGATGTTGCATTGCTGTAATGTTCCCCGTGGGAGAAGTCTTTCTCATAAGATATATATTCCGTTGTTTAGAGCAGGCCTATGACCATTACGCCCCAATGTTGCTAAACATCTGGTAGACCTTTAGCCTGACATAGACGCAGACCTCGCATGTTCAAGTTCAGATCTGACAGGTGCCGAACATATTGATTCCGACATGAATGCAATATATCAGCGGGTTATTGTTTTCCTAAATAAGTGGAGTGCTTTCTACAACATTGGAGATACACGTATCGTTGTCCTGATATTCCCCCGAACGGAAGCTGTACACATTTAGGGTACAATGTGTATGTAGGGTATGGCCTTAAGACTGTTCTACTTTAACCAGGATACTTCGAACTTCATGTAACAGTCGTTTGAGAAGATCAAGAGAGAAAGGGGTAGTACGCGATGTATCTGACGGACGTATATGGAGAAAGTTCGATGAATGTTACTGTATAAATACAATAATAGAAATACCGGTTATGTTTAAAAAGTACCCTCAATCTGATAGCCAGAGAGATTATTGTGAAAGATTGCAGTATGTATCATCATAAACGGGCCAAGATAAAAGTGCATGTCATTCATCCCCATTATATCCCTTTATAGACACGGCACATCGTTGTTACAGGTAGGGCAAACACTCTCTTCTACAGGTTTCTGCCAGTTTCACGCTACATACATGTATTCAGACTATTGAGAAAAGTAGCGACGCATGTTCTCCTCCATCATATATATAATTGTATAGATACCCAGTGATTAGTGATAGCGCTGAAGCAACGTATTAAAATTTACGACATCATTATCATCTGCGGTAGTACTGCCATACCTAGCATCGTTTTTATTACTCTCTTACATAAGAGGGGCGGTGGGGTAGCCTAGTGGTTAAAGCATTGACTCGTCACGCCATAGACCCGGGTTCGAATCCCCACATGGGTACAGTGTGTGAAGCCCATTTCTGGTGTCCCCCGCCGTGATGTTGCTGGAATATTGCTAAAAGCGGCGTAAAACCAAACTCAGTCAGTCTTACATAAGAAGAAATATCACAGGCTTACCATGGTAACGATAATTTGGCATACTATTTATTGTTGTATTCTTTAATCTGTGATTAGAATTAATATCAGTTTTGACGTGAGACAAAAAAAGAAACTGTAAAACTAAAAGTATTATGATCGAATCTATAAGCCTTTGTAAAAGCGACTTTCAAGCCACCTACATAAAAAAACTGTTTTCATCATAAATATCTGCTAGTCCGTGGGACCATGTGTTTGTGAATAATAATCAAATAGTGATGTTACAAGGCGTCCATGCCGCGTCAACAACACATGCACACGCGCGAGAATTGCAATACGGGCCTGTAAACCACTGATTCTCCGTGACCTGGAAACTAGGGATGACTATTGAGGGGGAACAATTATTGCGATATCGATAGTCTATTGCAACATACCATTGCGATAGCGATAGTCTACTGCGACCAACTATTGCAATACTAGTAGGTTTTTTCACCTTGAATTTCTCATTTGAAGTCATTTCCCAAATAAATGTATAGTTTATGTGAAATAAAAACAAGCTGAAGTAGTTTCAGTCTCTTTTAATAACTGAACAACTGCGACCAACTATTGCAATACTAGTAGGTTTTTTCACCTTGAATTTCTCATTTGAAGTCATTTCCCAAATAAATGTATAGTTTATGTGAAATAAAAACAAGCTGAAGTAGTTTCAGTCTCTTTTAATAACTGATTGGTAGAAGAACATGTAAAGATGCTAGTGTTGTTGACTATGTAATATGCTCTGCATCATGCTTACCTTTAATCATTGATCTGAATGTACCTGACTTTTCACCCTTGTATTCGGATGTACACTGTCCGATAACATTTAGCATTTCCAGTAATATTTTGCAGGCTCCAACAACAGGTATCCAACATAAAGTCAGTAAGTCACATAACCCTCAACGTAGGCCAAGACGATATAACCGTGATAAATCCAAAGAATTCATTAACAACTTAGACACCGCAAGGATAAACAACCTGAGCCAGAAAGCACATTTAGCCAGGCTTGAGCAAGGTGACCCAGTCCTGGTGAGTGACATCACAGATGAGGTCGCGCACGTGCTGACAGAGGCTGCACGAGCAACTTTCGAGTCCGAAGCCAGAGAGAAAGAAAGGAAGAAAATGTTAACAAGTCTAAACCGTGGTTTAGTGTAGCGTGTCAAAATGCTAGGAAAAAGATTTAATAAAGCCAAACGGCGATTTAAAAAAATGAATCTGTTTATAACAAACGCGTTTATAGACTTGAGTCTAAGAATTATAAAAAATGCATGGATAAACATATCAAACTTTACAAAGATGAATAAGATAAAATGTTGAGAGATAAACAGAAACATGACCCGAAAGAGTTTTGGAAAATTTTAAATGGTAATCAAAATAAAGAGGATGACAATTCTTTTTTAGACATTGACGTATTTTACGAGCACTTCAAATCATTAAATGAATCAGCACAACGTGAACAAGGAGATAACGATAATACTGACAATGCTATACAGGTTACATGTGATGTTTTAGATAGGGTCATTGTGAAAGAAGAAGTTATTTCTGCAATTAAACAACTCAAGAGGGGTAAGGCATCAGGGATAGACCTTATAGAAAATGAATATTTTATAGATAGTGTTGACTTGCTGGCTCCATTATTAGTTGAACTATTTAATCTCACATTTGAAAAGGGTGTTTTACCAGAATCATGGTTAACGGGAATAATTAAACCGATCTATAAGAAAAAAGGCGATAAATTTGATCCTAACTCATATAGACCAATAACTCGACTTAGTTGTTTTGGAAAATTGTTCACTAAAATATTAAACAACCGCCTTTCGGATTTCTTGGATACTAATAATGTTTTAACACCTGCCCAAGCCGGGTTTAGAAAATCATTCTCCACTGTTGACAATGTATTTATAATTAATAACCTGATGCAAATTTTGAAAGATAGGAAACGAAAACTCTATTGTGCCTTTATAGATTTTACAAAAGCTTTCGATACGGTTTGGCGAGTGGGATTGTGGAAAAAAATGCAAACGATTGGTATAGGGGGCAAATTCCTGAATCTTGTCAAATCAATGTATAATAATATCAAATCACTTGTACAATGTAATAATGACGTATCAAACTACTTCTCATGTAACAACGGCGTCAGACAAGGGGAAAATCTGTCACCTTTACTATTCTCCATTTTCATAAATGATATTGAAACTCATTTACTTACTTCAGACTGTAATGGTGTAAATCTAAACTATATTGAATACGAAGATTTGGTGCTATTTGTAAAGTTGTTAATTTTATTATATGCAGATGATACAATATTATTTGATGAATCGTCAAAGGGACTACAAGATGCTTTGGACTCATTTAAGGACTATTGTGATTCATGGAAGCTAAAAGTGAATATAAGCAAAACTAAAATAGTAATATTCGGGGCAGGACCATCAAAAAGCACAAAACATAGATTTCATTTGGATGGGAAATTACTTGAAATAGTTGATAGTTATACGTACCTCGGTATAACGCTCCATAGAAATAGAAAACTCGTATCAAGTATTAAAACTGTAAGCAATAGTGCCTCAAAAGCAATGTATAGTTTAGTGAAAAAAGCTAGAAAATTAGACTTGCCTTTAGACTGTTTATTGTTAGCATTTGACTTAATGGTAGTACCTATCATGACCTATGGTGCAGAAGTCTGGTCTTTCGAAAACCTTGAAATTTTGGAGAAAATTCATTTAAAATTCTTAAGACTCATTACAGGATTAAGAAATTCAACCCCTCGTTTCATGCTGTATGGGGAACTAGGAAGATTCCCGATTAGAATCATGATTTATAAGCGTTTATTAAACTTTTTGGCACAAGTTAACTTACCAAGAAGGTGTTTTAAGCTTACGAACTTAATTTACAGGTATTTATCACTTCAAAGATCAATAGATAAAAACATAATCCCTGGCTCTCGCACGTTAAAAAAAATATATTAGACAATACTGGACTCTCGTATGTTTTGATAATCCCTCAATTTGTACTACCCAGTGGCTGGTCACAAAAGTTGAACATATTCTTAAAGATCAATTTATCCAAAACTGGCACAATGACATTATTTCTAGTCCTAAGGGTATACACTATCAGCACCTAAAAGCCATTTCCCAATTTTGATGTATATCTCCTCCTTCCAAAACGCATTTCTTTGCCATTATTGAGATTTAGAACATGTAACCATAGTTTACCTTGGTTTATGAGAATAAAGAAATTGAATTGAATTGACAAGAAACTTCAAGTAAACAGTTAAAACATAAACTCAATGAAGCTGCAAGTCTGCACCCAAACATCTTGTATTTTGGGCTGCGCATTTATCAACGGAAGTCAATTACTAAACTATCGATAGTCACACATACTATCGAAGCATCGATAGTCTTTCGCTTCTACCATCAATTAATTGCTCTCGGAGACTCAACAATTGCAACCCATTGATAGTTCGATGCATCGTTACAGCCCTACTGGAGACACATGTGATTGAGCGTATGTAGGGATGGGTAGAAGAAAAAAGACAAATTGGATACTCGTGCTGTTATACTTTTGGAATTATATGTAAACATTCGTTCTTGTCTAGGAATAAATGTATATTTTCCAATTTCAACCAAATGTACATTTGAAGGATATCGAAATCTAGGTTAAGCTATTTGAATCATATTTACAATTAAAAGACCCAAACAATGGTTTGTTGTCCAAATGTTTTGTTTTCCATGTCTTGTCCCAGTCACAGAACGATATTATTTCCCCTTCCGCCCATCCCTTACTGTAATGCTTACGCCCTAAATGAAGCATGTCTTGATATCCCCAGGTTCCGCGTCTGTCATAATCTGCAGGAAAACTAACTGCAGGGTTCGGGTTACAGAATTAACATCCCAAACACCCATGGCTGGCGGGGCCAACATCTTCAGTAACATTTACATCTGCCAACGCTTAATTCGCAAGTGGTGAGGCAATAAGCTAATGAGGCTAAGGGTCCTGTACCATGTTTGTGAAGTATCTATGATGCCTTACACGAAGTCTATAGTCTTAGCAAGTCTAGCTATGTATTCACTGACTTAATCATATTGGAAAACACATGGCAACCTATACTTCATTGTGACCACAAGGGTTATTTCCTTTGAGTTAACGGACAGGCTTTCGGTGTCAAACATTTGAAACTACGACCAAAGGTAATGTTATGCTGTCTGCAAATATGGCTTTTTTTCTAATGCTTTGGTTGCACTTAATGATAAGTGATTGTTAAATGTACATATGGTGTTTTTGAAGAATAATCTCAGCTGCATCAGATACTTTGCACGTGTTTTCCCCCACTCTTTCCACACCCGTAAAAATCAATTTTCTATATATGTCTGTAAGGAAATGCTGTAAAGAAATGGGATGGCTGAATTTGGCCACCTGAGGTAGTAATCGCAGCATTCTGGTTACACTGCATTGAGCTCGAGAGGACAGAGCTTGGCAAGATACCAATAAATATGCTTGTACATCATACGTGATTCAATGTTATTAGAAATAAAGAATTACTACTACGAAGTACCAACTGAGTTCGGCATTGCTAGCGGGGTACATAGAAAATGTTACTCGCTTGTAAGCTGGGTATATTGAAAATAATAGAAGAACGCTCAGCCAATCAGAAACGACATTCATGTGTGAGGCAAGATAATGATGTATATTTCTTTATATGAATATATCTCAAATATTATGTATACACTGATGATAGACCTGCCAGTCGGATATTCCGAGTCACATATAGGTAGCAAAACGTTAAATGGTACCCATGGTGGTGCCTACGTCTTGCCCAAAGGTTCACCAACTGCGGTTATCTACCCTTTCCAGGAAATCGACGATTTGAAGGCACTTTTAAGAGTGGAAGATCTTCTGTGTTTCTTGATGTACTCTGCACGGTAAGATGGTTCAGATGGACCCCATGTGTCATCAGGTTTTAGGGACATCTTGATCCTCTGAAATATATCCAATACCATAAGCACTCCGCACAGAAACATTGCTAAAAAAAGCCCTTCCGTCAGGAGCATTAAAATTAAAAACTAGAAGCCTTACACAAATCTTTTCGCACAGCTACTGACGACCGCGTTTACAGTATTGCATACACATCCAAGGCACTGTCATGAGCTGTAAAAATACCCAAGGACCTGTTGCCATATATTATGAGTCTAGAATGTCATACTCATTTAACCAAGAGTCAACAGGCATATGCTGAAGAAAGGTATTACTTCCAGATGAAACAATGACGGGATTACTTCTTTGAGTGTACTCCAACCTTGTCATTAATTGTGCAAACATCAATCACTTACTGTTCTAACTTTACTGTGTATATGTAACCTTCCCTCCAGTGTTGTGCATCACTTGCTTGATAACGGTGTTAGTAGCTACACCGAAACGTCGCTCATATTATATTAAAGAAGTTGCGGGGCGGTGGGGTAGCCTGATGGTTAAAGCGTTCGCTCGTCACGCCGAAGACCCGGGTTCGAGTCCCCACATGGGTACAATGTGTGAAACTCATTTCTGGTGTCCCCCGCCGTGATATTGCTGGAATATTGCTAAAAGCGGCGTAAAACCAAACTCACTCACGCACTCACTAAAGAAGTTGCATATCCATAGAACTCTCCTTGTTGTTAAAGACGGGATTACTTGCTAATTATTAAACCTATATATTTATCTTGGGTTTGACGATTGCGTAAAGACACATTAGTCTCTTCAGTTCCACTTCTCTGGTGTCCCCCGCCGTGATGTTGCTGGAATATTGCTAAAAGCGGCGTAAACCAAACTCAGTCAGTCAGTCAGTTCCACTTCACACAAACAATTATCACATTTCATTTTTTCAAAAGGAACAGCAACGTTTCAGTGATGCGTTTTTAACGCAGTGATGAGCTTTTAATCACCGTAGATTACTATATGTATCACCATTCAAATGATAAAATAGATCTAGAGAGGTGAGGTAATATGGTTTATAACGTCACTTTCAAGACTCATGCACTTTCACAGCGACATGCGGATACGAATTGATCTTCAGCAACCCATGCATGTTATAACTCGACTAACGGGATCTCTGATTTTGTTGACACATGTCATTGTATCCCAATTTATGCGTAGATTGATGCCCATGCTGTTTGTTACTGGATTGTCGGGTCCAGACTCAATAATTTACAGACCGCTGCCACATAGCTGAAATATTGCTGAGTGCGGCGTTAAACAACAAAGAAATAATGGAAACTGTTTCATTGAGAATGTTGATACCTTTAAACCGAATTACCTGAAAAACACCTCCTTTCCTACGGTAAAGAGCGAGAAACATCATTATTATCACAGGCATCAAGGGAATGGAAGCGATTATCCATCCTATTACAGTCGAGTAATAAGGATACACATATTCTCCATATGTTGGTGATTTATACTGGGCGAAGGTGAAAACAACAGTCATCTGAAAAATGAAAAATCAAATATGAAAGAACATACACACACACACGCAACACATACACACAACACACACACTCAACACACACATAATAAACACACATACAGACGTATATATGTCACTGTGTGTATTGTTTAACATCAGACCCTTTCAAGCGTATTTTGTAAAGAAACCTTGGTAAATCTTTACAAAGCTTTCAGGCAGGCATATATTTGTTTCAATTGAACAACTGACTTGCCTTTGTGTGTGTTTATGATGCGTGCTAACGTTTGGGCAGGAACTGCTTACCTATTCGCGAACACTTGGTATCCTCACTGTGTTATAGCGATCCCTAAAAACGTTTGAATCTAACAATGGTTACTATTTATAGAATCTATTTCTTATGGGATGGAAATGAAATTGTTGCTTGTATATATTCCCTGAGGTCATAAAGAGGCAATTCCATGAAAGACGTTGATATCTACCAGGAGCATAGCTGGTGTAATGTAACACCATGTGATCTTGAAGAATAGGGGTGCTGGTCTGCCAATCATCAGTTGTATGTCGTCACTGAAACGGTCAATACCTACAAAGATAGACACAATATCAGAAAGAGTTTTCGACAAATGGTAGTTGAGATAGAAAAAGTATAATACTTTATTGACAACAACTTCTTGATTTATTATGACGCGACGTTTCGGTATAGCTTCTTATACCGTTGTCAAGCAAGAGTAATAATCATAATGAATAAAGAAGTTGTTATCCATAAGGTATTATACTTTTTCTATTTTCCATCAACTTCTAAAATGCCAGGTAGTTGAGATATCAACATCTGAGCTCGTAATTCCCTGACTTCTATTTAGCTCGGCGACTGTTGGTACTGCGCTGTCTTATAGCGAGAGAACCGCAATGCACGTCAGGTAACAAACATTTGTTATGAAAAATTGTAAAATGGCTGGCGCTGCGGAAGAATGCTTTCCCTTCTCGCTAACAACTCGTGACATCACTGATATTCAGTGATCCAATTATATATCTTATTCCCGCATGTTGCAGTGCTAAAACTTGCTACCTCTGTAATGAAAATAACGACCAAATAAACCTTCCCAAAGTACACCCGACAGTTATTGAATCCTATTTGCAGGGACATTGTGTAAGGGTTCTTTGCCAAATCGGGGTTCGTAAGTCAGAATTAGTGACATTAAAGGATATCCTCTAATGAACTTATTCCCAACTGACGAAATTAAACGAAATCTGTGTATTCTCTATGTACTGGTCCAGATCAGCGTTGAGGCATTATTATTGCAAGAATCTGTCTTCACGACAGGTCCTTGTTACAACCCATGCTTGTCGCCCGTGAATATCTGGGTTAGAATTGGTCTTCAGCAAACTCATGTTTGCAGTAAGAGGCAACTAACGGGATGGGCAAGTCATGCTCTATGAGTGAGTGAGTGAGTTTAGTTTTACGCCGCACTCAGCAATATTTTAGCTATATGGCGGAGGTCTGTAAATAATCGAGTCTGGACCAGACAATCCAGTGATCAACAGCATGAGAATCTATCTACGCAACTGGGATACGATAACATGTGTCAACCAAGTCAGCGAGCCTGACCACCCGATCCCGTTAGTCGCCTCTTACGACAAGCATGGGTTACTGAAGATCAATTCTAACCCGGACCTTCACGGGTCTCATGCTCTGTGACTTCGTTGACACATGTCATTGTATCCCAATTGTGTAGATAGATGCTTATGATGTCAATCACTGGGTTTCAATAAGAAATGTTACATTTGCAAACATCGTAACAATTCCAACCACAAAAACGTCAGTGGCACATATATTTACTTAAAACTGTGGAGCGTTTGTGTGTTTTTTCTCCATTTGTTTACATTGGGCAAATACCTACTGTCTTTTAGAAAATTGTAACTTAAATACTGACATACTTATATCAGATGGATCATTGGCCAGAAATATTCAGTTGATAAATGGACTGGTGTTTTAAAACCATAGGATGTGCCTAGCGAACAGTCCTTACCATACAACCACGACACCATGACACATTCCAGCAACGCAGCAAATGTTATGAAAAGCGCCACAATGTACCAGTCTACAAGCTGGAACACATATATTCCACCCTGAAATTAAAGATCAAAATATTAACAAGCAAGAACTTGACGTCATATTTATATTTCCTTTCTGTAAATCACTTCAGTGCACATTGCAATGGTAAACAGAATACCGTGAATTAGGCTACAGTTGAAATTGCACAGCTATCTTTACGTCAAGACATAAAACAATAACACAGTGTTTGTCGTATTCAATGTCATGAGTGAGTTTAGTTTTACGCCGCTTTTCAGCAATATCACGGCGGGTGACACCAGAAATGGGCTTCACGCAGTGTGCCCATGTTGGGAATCGAACCCGAGTTTTCGGCGTGACGAGCGAACGCTTTAACCACTAGGCTACCCCACCGCCCCACAATATCATGTAAATAGGATTGTCGTAGTTAAGCAATACGCCTGGAAATATTAAAACGAGCGGAAAGAAGACATGCAGTCATAATCATCTTTATAATTAAATATATTAATAAACGACCGAGAAATCAATGTGTGTTATTGAAATCTGTGAGAAAACATTTTGAATACGATACGGCTACAGAAAGTTGTAAGGGCCATCCATTTTTTGCTTTGGATAGAAGACTTATAGATATTATATGACCACACAAATACAAGCGCACGCACATGGACGCACACACATACGTACGCACGCACGCACGCTACCCTAACACACACCTCAGTGGTCATTACAAGTCCAAGGAGAAATGACACCAGGCAGTAGACAGCAGCGATTGGTATTCTCCATTTCACTAGGTTGTGGTATTCATCCAAGATTGCCGTCATGAAGGTTTCAACCTGCGAGAACTACCAACAAACATGATTATAGGTGTGCATATGTCAAATTTGCATGACACGCCACTGACACGATGACCACTGACTTGGACTTGATACATGTGTTTGTTTGTTATAAGACTATCACATGTTACGCATCATAAACTGACGTACAAAAGAAAGTATACACCGGGTGTTTGGGAATTATTTGAAAAGTGTTGTAATTTTGACAGGCAACTTCGCAATTGGGCACGATATCTGTGGTGTTTTGGCAACATATTAGGAAAGTCTGTGACTTATATATCACTGTAAAAACTCTTTTCAAAACATTTACGTCGCTTTTTGGAAAGTAATCCAAAAGCACCGAATGTGTACTTTCTTTTGTACGTCAGTTTATTTACCTCTACACAATAAAGATTTCAAGATTTTAGGTTAAGGTCCTCCTGTATACATTGTTATTCAGTTCCACACAATCACTAGTCTATTATTTCAAAGTATATTAAAATAAGCTTCAAAATACACATCTGACAAACTTTATGAATAAGAAACGTACGACGTTTCGATACAGATTGTGATACCTGCTTGATAGTCTGTCTCACAGTCCCTGAACCACATTATTTTCCCTACTGCCAAGCCTCTCTGCAGTGCTAAAGCCCTCAATAAAGCAAGTCTAGATTTCCTCAGGTTCTGAATCTCTTGTCTCCCTAGGGTTCCTTTTCAATTTAAATGGGCTTGTTTGTTACTATCAAAATTATATATATTCAGAGACTAAGCATTAGTCTACCTGTTTGACAACGGTGCAAAACTCCACACTGAAACGTCGGACTCACGAAATAAAAGAAGTTGTTATCCATAAGGTTTTTCAATATTGTACTTCCCAAATAAAATGCCACTCAAAGAAGGTCAAAATACCTAATCTGCAAACTACATTTAATAATGAACCTCACACGTTCTGTGTATTTGTCATGGTCAACTATCATGCTCTGCAACATATGGTCATATGCGCAAAATGTATCATCTGCATCACAAGTGTGAGATATAATGTAAGAGATCTTGCATTCTAACTATGCCAAAACAGAATGCGGAAACACTAAATTTGAGCCAATTTACATCGAGGTCGCGAAAACTGTAACTTTGTCAAACGTGTGAGAATGCCAAATCGTGAAAACACGAGATTAGGTCCAGTTTAGCTCGTTTATCAAGCCCGTTTCGCGAAAACGTCCCTTACAGTAAGATTCTTGAAAGGCATTTAGAAGTTGGTGAATATATAAGACGAGTATATGGATGGCAACTTCTTGTTTATTGTATATCACAACGTTTCTGGGCTACTTCTTGCCCCTTCTTCAGGTGATTTAAGACAGATGCAGATGCATATGCAAGTCGAATCCAACTAATTCAATCACTGGGTAAAATTAAATCAGTGATTAATATCATAATTATGAAAATTATGTTTGAGGTATATTTTACACCGGATGAAGCCATTACCAGCAAAAACAAATTTGTAGCTTTGGTGTATTCTAACCAGAGAATCCATTGCCAGAAGGATGATCATGACAAAGAAGATAAAACTCCACAACTGTGGAACCGGAAGATGAGCCAGTGCTTCTGGGTAAATAACAAAGCCCAATCCAGGTCCTGCAAAAAAATAACAAATTTAGAACAAAACAGCCCTCAGGAATACACAGGGAGTGAGCGAATCAGTGAGTATGGTTTTTAGCCGCTTTTAGCAATATTCCAGCAATATCACGGCAGGGCACACCAGAAATAGGCTTCACACATTGTACCCATGTGGGGAATCGAACTCGGGTCTTCGGCATCACGAGTCAACGCATTGACCACTAGGCTACCCCACCGCCCCTATCACAAGGAGTGATTAATCCTGGTACATAATCATAAATTGTATAAAAAGTAGATTCCTCACATTGTCGTTTATGTACGCAGGATCTTTCACCGCTCAGCATTTCTTCAGTTGTAATAAAAACTAATAGTCATTGGTGCCACACAACGGCAGTATCTATGTCATCATAAAAATTGTAACATAGTGACAATAAAAGAAGTAGAGTTCCAGTATCTGTGTCATCATAAACATTGTAGTTTAGAAGGAAAGGAAAATGTCATGGGCGACACACCACGGGATCTGTTCACCGCTCAGTAAAATTTCTTCAGTTGTAATGACGTAACAAAACAATAGAAGGAGAAGTGTAGTCATAGGCGACACACCACGGCAGTATCTGTGTCATCATAAAGCTTATGACGTAACAGTTAGTGGCAATAGAAGGAGAAGTAAAATGTAGTCATAGGCGACACACCACGGCAGCATCTTTGTCATCATAAAGCTTATGACGTAACAGTTAGTGGCAATAGAAGGAGAAGTAAAACGTAGTCATAGGCGACACACCACGGCAGTATCTGTGTCATCATAAAGCTTATGACGTAACAGTTAGTGGCAATAGAAGGAGAAGTAAAATGTAGTCATAGGTGACACACCTCGGCAGCATCTGTGTCATCATAAAGCTTATGACGTAACAGTTAGTGGCAATAGAAGGAGAAGTAAAACGTAGTCATAGGCGACACACCATGGCAGTGTCTGTGTCATCATGAAGATTATAACGTAACAGTTAGTGAAAATAGAAGAAGTAAAACGTAGTCATAGGCGACAGCCAGCATGGTTGTAACGTCATGATTTTGACGACACAATTTGTGACAATAGTGGTAGGCTTCAATACATTATGTTGTGAGTGTATACATATACATTGAGCTACATAGGAAAGTTTTGAAAAAATACGTTTGAATTAACATTAGGTTTCAAAAGCCCAATGAACATCTGTTCTTTTTCAGTTCAGGTTGATACACATTCACCTCGGCAGTATCTGTGTCATCATAAAGCTTATGACGTAACAGTTAGTGACAATAGAAGGAAAGGAAAACGTAGTCATGGGCGACACACCTCGGCAGTATCTGTGTCATCATAAAGCTTATGACGTAACAGTTAGTGGCAATAGAAGGAGAAGTAAAACGTAGTCATAGGCGACACACCTCGGCAGTATCTGTGTCATCATAAAGCTTATGACGTAACAGTTAGTGGCAGTAGAAGGGGAAGTAAAACGTAGTCATAGGCGACACACCATGGCAGTATCTGTGTCATCATGAAGATTATAACGTAACAGTTAGTGAAAATAGAAGAAGTAAAACGTAGTCATAGGCGACAGCCAGCATGGTTGTAACGTCATGATTTTGACGACACAATTTGTGACAATAGTGGTAGGCTTCAATACATTATGTTGTGAGTGTATACATATACATTGAGCTACATACATTGAGCACCTGGCTTCATTTTTCGTTCATGTTGTTAAACAATAATAAAAGGAAAAAGAACAGATGTTCATGTAACATGCTATTTTCAGGTCATCATGGTTGTTGGAATTTATTCCACAATAGACCATGCTTATCTGTGTTCACAGTATATCATACAGAAATATGCACGCGTGTGATCAAGTGAAAGATGATGTAATTCAGCCCATTGTTAGTCATAAGTAGTGTTGGGAATTGGTTGAAATCTCACAATTGATGATTGCTTCATTACCAACGAACAATCATCGAAAAATTGGTTAGCGTCATTTTTAGATTTTCCTATCCAGGTTGTTATTGCTGATATGTATAAGATGATGCAACTTGCTACTTTAAAGTGATGACTTATATATCATGAACATAAACTTCCTGGAGTCTTCAAGAAATATTCAGTCATGACTTTCAGTTAGTGAAGTGAGTTTTCTAAGAATTAAACACGTTTTCAGGCACTGACAGCTTCAACGATATGTTCCATTGTCAAGTATTTCAAAGACTACAAAAGTAGTTAAAAAATCGTTTATGTTCGATTACGAGAAAATGTGATCGATTGCTTGGGCGTTTGGTCACTGCGACCAATCTTCGATTATTTCAATTAATCGGAACACCCTAGTCATAAGAGTCCATTAAACTGGGAACCGGTGATGAATACGGGTTAGAATTGCTCGTTAACAACCTATCATGGGTGTGAGATGCGTCTTATTGGATTGGGTCACCTGGTTCAGTGACTTGGTTGAAAGCATGGCAACCCCGATCGTTGGGATCGGTTTGAATTGCTGCCTGTGAGATAAAAGACTGATTGTTTGATCTTGACGCGATGATTTTATGGCTGTCGTCAAATACCTTGAACATTGGTGTGTGGGACATTAGACCAGACACAACTAATATGAATACGTTTATAGAACGTGCCCTAGGTTTCCTCGCTGAATGCACATATCGCTAACAGACAGATGCAGACTGTCATTTCACACGTACAACCAAAGTCACAAATACAGACATGCTAACGCATTCATACTCACACACATACACACGCAAGCACGCACGCACGCACGCACGCACACACACACACATTCTTTCCTTTGTCATTCATGATGTGCCAAAATGATATGTACTTACCTGATGACACAACTTCCGTTATCGGCACACTGGCCTCGTGGGACATGTATCCAAGTATCGTGAAGACAACAAGACCAGCATACATGCTTGTTCCTTCACACAGAAAGGTACACACAATCGCATTTCTGAATAAGATTAAAACAGAAACTATGTACATTAACACAATCAATCATCCACCAAATTCAATCGGAGGTTGAAGTATTTAACTGCATCTGTACATTGCTGCTCTCTGAAGTCAACCATTCATATCACGGAATTGACCCTCTTGTTGTTAAATAGTTAAGAACTCAAGTCTGAAGCCAGGCAGAACATTCTCTTTAAATATCAAGCTTACGGTTGGGTTCAACTGAAAGATACGTTGGAAGTCCCATAATAAAACTGACTGACTGAGTTTGGTTTTACGCCGCTTTTAGTAATATTCCAGCAATATCACGGCGGGGGACACCAGAAATGGGCTTCACTCATTGTACCCATGTGGGGATTCGAACCCGGGTCTTCGGCGCGACGAGACAACGCTTTAACCACTAGACTACCCCACCGCTCCCCATAATTAAAACTCCCCAGAAGGTTATATATATTCTAGGGGTGGTGGGGTAGCCCATTTCTGGTGTCCCCCGCCGTGATGTTGCTGGAATATTGCTAAAAGCGGGTTAAAATTAAACTCACTCACTCACTATATATTCTATCACAAGTATTGTAGAATACTCGCTTCTGGTTGGTCAGTCAGTGTCAAATCATAATCAGCGGGAGATTTGAAAGAGACTATGTTTCAAGATTTTGGGAAAACACTTGATTAAATATTAAGATGCTTGCTTAAAGTTCTTTAGTGATACCTATTTCACGATGACTTACACACGTTCAACGCCTATCATTATGCGAATAAAGGATATTTTCAATGTTTGTGAATTTTCAGCGACATGCTTTGCCAAATGCTTTGATTCCGACCACTGATTTGCAAAGCTTGTCAATAAGCGGACAAATAGTCTATCTGAGACTCTGTTATTGCCTTCGACAATCTGCTTTTTCTTTCAGTAGAATCTAACTGCAAATAGAGATTCCACTGCCACTGAGATTTCTTCCAAATTGACCCTACAAATACCAAAGAAATCCCTCTCAAACTGAACTTTGAAATCCCACTTGAACATCTATCAAAATGGGCCTTGAAATGCCGTTGAGATTCCTTTCCAAAGTATCAGTGAGATCCCTTTTATATTGAACTTGATATGTCAGTGAGATCCCTATTAAACGTAACCTTGAAATGCCGGTGACAAGGCTTTCAAAATGAAACATGACATTCTGGATGTTGACTGTCCTGGTATTACCTGAGACAGTTTGTGTTGAACTTGGTGTAGCTCGACATGGTAATGATACAACCCCAGGCCGGACCCAGGGAGTAGAACACCTGGAGACACGCCTCTAACCACACCTGATGAAGAAGAGAATATTACCTCAGGATTATCTTCTTATGCAAATTGAATGATGGTGGAAGATCATCTGGAGAAGTAAAATTCTTGAGAGAACGTCGTATAAAAATATTCTTTAGGTTGTTAAACGTAAGTACGGCTTGAGTCCTGACGACTTGACTGTGCCCAGAAGCCTTTCTCGTTTTCCTGATACTGTATTGGGCTGTGCAGTATTAGACATTCAAAATTGACTTTTTCTTTAAAACAATATTATCAAAGGAAGGTATCAATGGAAAAGGTAAGTCGATCATTGAAATACTGCTGCTATCAGTCATCAGCATAACATAGTAATTAAAGTTTTCCCAGAAATATTATTGAGAAAATATTTGTTTCCTTATACTGATAACAACATTTTAAAATAGGTGTTACATTATGTAGTAAGGCACTCAATGTGGGAGGCAACTCTTGTAGACTTAAGAACGAACCTAAATACATCAAGATTTATCTCCCCTGATGTAGCAGACGGCTTCTTTTGTTGATATGGCAGATTTGACAGCAGAAAAGAAAAGAAAGCTGGTTCTAAATGATTTTGAAATGGGCGTGAAAAATACTAAAGAGTTAGATGGTAGACATGACATTCCTCTGTCTACAGTATACAGAACTTGGATGAATATTCAGTCAGGAATTGGGATTGAGCAGAAGACAGCGGCAGGGAGGCCAAGGAAGTTCAGTACTACGGATCGCCGGCTCTTGGTCAGATTGTGTGTAGGGGAAAATTGAAAAGCGTTGAGAATATCAGAAATGAGATGATTAATAGAGGAAGTCTTCGGGTATGTAATGAAACTCTTAGACAAGAATTACAAAGACTTAACTAGGTGACCAAAACGCGGAATTCCCTCACCATTGATGAACGAACTTAAAAGGAGAGATGTTTAAAAAGGTGTAATCAAAGTTTTCTTTTCGGATGAAAGTTCTGTCTGGCTTTTTCCGAACTGTGTGAAAATTTGGACAAAAGATACCGTGTAACCTATCTACCCACACTGTAAAATATTACCATTGAAATTACAGTCCATCCACTGTTATTTCTATACGTTTGTTACCGTGGCTCCCACGTACGGTGCGTTACCGTCAATAAACCACATATACGGTACTGCCCAGTTAATTTAGTGTATTGTGGGATATGATCCGGGCATTATAGTAGTATCGGCGACATTTTCGGAAACTCTCCTCTCCGATGTAAGAAATGTTTTGAGCCGAATAAGGCACTGTGTAAGAAGTTAAGGTTTTTTGTTACTACAAAAGGTCTAGATTCATGCTGATGTACAATTACCTGTTTACATTTGCTATATTTCTGGCTATCGCACTTGCACGTGTACGGCCAATGGCTACATATTGCTGTGATCATTGCAACTTCAGTTGCGATCGTCCTTTGAGATACGTTTCTCATTACAAATTTCATCGCAATATCCCAAATGTGTTATATCGCTGTTGTTTTCAAACTTGCGAAAAGTTGTTTGTCAAATATTCAGCCTTTAAGTCACATGTAATAAGATCACATTGCCAAAGGCCGATGATCCATGGTGCAACTAATAGGGGGCACTTTGCAAGTCGTTTAGCTGAGTCAAAAGATTTGAATTTAAAATGTACAATTTTGGATTGTCATAATATATTTGTCAATTTCCCAAGTTTAGTTGCTCATTTGAAAAGGCATTTCACAAATAATGAAAAAGTTCAGTGTCCATTTGAATCCTGTCAGGGGAAGCCACCATTTAGTAAGAAATCAACTTTTTCTTCACACCTCTCCAGAAAACATTTACATGATGATTGGAAACAATTATCAAAAGAAATTAAGCTGTCACTTAATTCTGAAAATGAAAGCACACACGATAATGGTTTTGGAGAACCAGTCCATGCTGTTGATGTTAACCCAGATGGGGATGGAGATACTGCTTTGCAAATAGGTGAAAATAATCAAGACCAACTGAATGAATCTTTTGATACAGAAACTGTTGATGAATTTCAAGTAAATGAGAAAACAAGCTATGATTTCTAAAAAGTCTTGCTGCGTTTTACCTCAAGTTGCAAGGAAAATATTTATTGCCAGAATCAGTTATTCAAGTGTTGATCACTGAATTTCAAAAGATGCATGAGATAAGTCTTTCTATTCAGTTACAAAAGTTACATGAAAGAATGCAATCAATGAGGGTACCAGAAGACATTATCAGTGAAGTTAAGTCAGAAATCACAAAGTCTGACTTGTTTACAACATGCAACAGTGGACCACTGCAAAGTGCCCAAAATAGAAAAAAACTTTTGACAAGAATCACTTTGTGTATATTGAGCCAAAAGAAATATTTCTTGGTTATGATAGCAACAATAAGGCAAAAACCTACCATTATGTGCCTATCTGTGAAGCTCTAGCCATGCTTTTCAAAAACTTCAAATCGCATTTTAAATTTGGCACCTCTACTGGAAATGCATGTGGCACACTATCAGATATTTGTGATGGAAATGCATTTAAATCTAATGATTTTTTGCCACTGAAGGTAAACGTTTCCAGTTGATTCTTTATCAGGATGCGTTTGAAGTGGTCAATCCTCTTGGGGCAGCAAAGAAAAAACACAAGCTGATTGGTGTATATTTTACACTTGGTAACTTTGAGTCCTATAAAAGATCCAGTATTGATCATATGCAGTTGGTCATGTTATGTAGAGAAATAGAAATAAAACAGTTTGGACAAAGAAAGGTATTTGAAAAGTTGTTAGCAGACCTGAAAATAATACTTGAAAACACAGGAATTACTGTGAATTCTGACTCTGGAAAAAGCGTTCTTAAGGGATCACTTATTTGTATTCTTGGTGACAATCTGGGTTCTCATATGATAGGGGGCTTTCAAGAGAGCTTTTCAGCTCAATACTTTTGCAGGTACTGTCACATGACACAAGTTGATTTGAAGAGCCATAAATTTGAACAGGCTGGGCATGAAGGAAGAACAAAACAGTCTTATGATGAATGTGTTTCACACACTATTGATAATCCTGGAATGTCATGCCATGGTATAAAACAGGTTTCAGTATTTAATTCTCTGACAAATTTTCATGTGCAGAATCAGGTTTACCACCATGTGTTGGACATGACTTATTTGAGGGAGTTGTCTCTTATGATATGTCACTCATGATAGACTATTTTGTTGGCTTGGGCTGTGTATGTACATGCAAGCCAGTGTTAAGAAAACCATGTGAGTACTGTATGGTGTTTTCAGTGTAGTTTACCTGAACATGCTTAAATTACTAGCCAGCAAAAGTGGTGTTGTATCTGCTGATAATAATTAAAGTGTTCATTTATTTATAATTGTTGTCAATAATGATATGTTTTGATCTGAAGAAAATGGGACTCCTTTTTCATTCACTTATAAGGGAATAGCAGTTAATAAGGTTGAATTGCACACTATCTTGACTGTTGGATTTGCCTCTTATTTTGTGGTATGCATGTAATGTGTATGTACATGCAAGCCAGTGTTAAGAAAACCATGTGAAAATAATTAAAGTGCTTATTTTAAGAAAAATTCTCCCTTTGTCTTTTGTTAATGTTGAAAGTGTGTGTTTAATTTTGGTTTTAAAAGGTAAGTTACAGGACTTCAGTGTAATATGTTGTGTGTTATGATACAACAGTGAAATTCATGGCATCTTTTTGCTTCAGGCAGATTACTGTATGTACTGTAACTACGGTTTAATGCCTGGCAGCTGGTTGCCAACAAATTACCGTACCTACGTGGAAAGCCTGTATCTACAGTGCGGTGCTGTACTTACGGTACAACCATTTTTACTACGGTAATCTGCTGGCAACCAGCTGCCAGGCATAATACCGTAACAAAATCACGGTAATTTTTTACAGTGCACGCCCAAAACATAGCAAGAAATTTCACATGTGGGGTGGGATATCAGCATGTGGAGTGACGCCGTTGTGTATTTTCACTGAAAATTTGACGAAGGAATGATATGTTGACATCTTAAATAATTACCTCCTTCCAATGGCCAGAAGACTATATAAGGATAATTTGATTTTCCAGCATGATAACGACCCAAAACACTCTGCGGGCAATACAAAACAGTGGATGTCGGACGAAAATGTTCAAGTTTCAGACTGGCCCAGCTACAGCCCAGATCTTAACCCTATTGAGAATGTGTGGGGACTAATGAAGGACAGAATAAACCAAAAAGGACTTAGAAATATTGAGGATATGAAGAAAAAAGTGGTCGAATATTGGGATAAACTGTCACACGATTTCCTACAAACTTTGATTGGTAGTGTACTTCAGCTGTGTATTGCAGGGCAGGGAGGTCTCACAAAGTACTGAAAAGACACTTAGACTGTGAGAGAATCATATCTCAAAATATTCATTTAAGTAAAAGTTCTATAGTTTATATACATGCATTAGATATTTGCCGAAACAACTTTCTCAATAATCTCTGGGAATACTATAAACCCGCCATGTATCTTGACAGTTTAATAATAATAATAATAATACTTGTGACAGGTATGTGGCATCAAGTTAAATATACAATTATTGGACAATCAGGTACTCTTATGAGTCCACTTTAATACACGACTGTGGCGGATCCAGATAGGGGGAAGGGGTTCGAACCCCCTGAACCCCCTCTCTGGATCCGCCACAGTCGTGTATTAAAGTGAACTCATTAGAGTACCTGAAAATGACTAAAGATCACATTGAAGTTAATGTTTTGCAATAGCGGAGCCAAGGTGGGGTTCAGGGAGTTTAAACCCGCATGACACCACACACACACACACACACACACACACACACACACACACACCCTTTGAAAATTTCTGGATCCGCCTATGCACGACCGTAACTCTGCCTGTCTTTAGTCTGTGAGATAATACCTGTATTTCCAGAAGTTTACTGAAATTTGGGGTGATATAAAATACAGCTCCATCGGTTCCTCCCGGTAGAGTCAGTCCACGAATGAGCAGAACAGTAAGGATGACATACGGTAGAGTTGCTGTTACATAGACGGCCTGAAATATCGAGTGAGTGAGTTTAGTTTCACGCCGCCTTTAGCAATATTCCAGCAATATCACGGCGGGGGACACCAGAAATAGGCTTCACACACTGTACCCATGTTGGGTATCGAACCCGGGTCTTCGGCGTGACGAGCGAACGCTTTAACCACTAGGCTACCCCACCGCCCCATCTCGCAACGAACTGAATTGATATACTATTGTAAAACGGATATGAAAATTAACATTCTCTGTACTATTCGTCTTAATTACCAATACCATTTCATGCTCTGTATTCTCAGTAGTTACACTATGTATAATTTAATGTTCATTTAAGCGAAGGGTATACATCCATTAGATGTGACCTTTTCATAACACCCATTACCACACTAATAGCATGCTACAGTAAACACCTGTTTACTTAGTAACAACTGTTTTGTTAATCGTTTGCTCTTCATTACACCAATGTCTATATATCTGACATGATATTTATACCTTTCCAACAGATCGTACACCTTTCACCACGCATATGAAGATAAGGAACCAGGAAGCCAGAAGACACAACGCCATCTCCCACTTGATCGATCCAATTTCGTCGATACCCTTCGATATCCCAAGCGCCTTGAAGCTGAATATATAAATATGTATGGGTTTAACATCAGTGAGCGAGTGAGTATGGTTTTACGCCGCCTTTAGCAATATTCCAGCAATATCACGACGGGGCACACCAGAAATGGGCTTCACACATTGTAGCCATGTGGGGAATCGAACCCGGGTCTTCGGCGTGACGAGCCAACGCTTTAACCACTAGGCTACCCCAACGGCCCGATTTAGCATCAGGTTCATGATAATTGCTCTCGTATAGTATGTTTGGCTTTTACCAATGTAGTAATACCAATTTTATTACAAGAGGAAATGATTTGATACTAAATCTTTCACGAATTTAATAAAAATGGTATTTCACGGAAGCGAGTTTATTATTCTGTTTATTACACTGCAACATAAATTGATAGAAACTGCCTACAGTGTGATGACTCTCATATCAATTTTCCGCGAACTGAACCTATGCCGGTTTATTGAGCTGGCCCATCGAGATATGTCGAAGTTGGTTTAGTTTGGATTGTTTTTTTGTTGTTGCTGTTGTTGTTTTGGGTGGGGATGTAAATAATCAGATCTGGACCAGACACTCCAGTGATCAAGAGCATGAGCATCAATTATGGCCAAAATTCTTCCGCTGCTGTACGATACTATATCCTCCTCACAAAAGTTAAGCAACACAAATTTGTAGTCTCATTACATTTTCATTTTATTGAAATTTCAAATCATGGAATGATGCAATAGAAAGGTTAAATATGTATACAAATCATGGAACGATTAACGATTAACAAAATGAAATGAAATGGTATTGAGCAATAATAGACTTACAAATCATCAAAAGCATGTACCCGTGAAACAGTCGTGCAAAATGTGCTGCATTGATGGAGCAAAATGTTAACATTAAGGTTCAAGTCAGTTTTGGACAGTGAAGCAGTGTTCAGTAACGCGTATGACCACCATGAGCACAAATGCAAGCTTCTACACGTCTTTGCATTGACCAAATGAGCCTTTAAAGTTGCTGTTGTGGAATGTTCTGCCATTCTCTGTAACGCCTGCTCAAGGTCATCCAGAGTCTGGGGTTCACATGGAGACCGTAAACACGACTTCCAATAATGTCCCAAGCATGTTCAATGGGATTAAGATCAAGTGACCTTGCAGGCCAGTCCATATGTGTGATGTTGTTGATCTAAACAACATCGTTAACAACTCATTCTCGGCCATTATCATCCATGGACGGGCATTATCACCCATTAAAATGAAGTTAGGACCCGCTTGTTGTGCCAGAGGAATGATTACAGGTAGGTTTACAATGATCAGGGTGCATGTGTGAAGAGTGGTGCACATTCATCCCACACATTTTGCATGTTGTTTCTGAGTGTGGTTGTGTTCGGGTTATGTTGTCAATGTTATCTGATAAATTAATTTGACAGTCACTAAAGGTTATGTATTCTTTGAATATTTACCTTTCAGTAACATGTCGGCAAAAATTGCTATCGAAATTGATAAAGATATTACACTGAAAATACTTGTTGCTTATTTTTTTGTGAGGAGTATATATTACACACTTCAAATTGAATTCTAAACTAACTGATACTTGATTACAATTTTACCATTTGTCATCTGGTCATATTACATGATACGGGAACGGTTGAAATACCTCCAGTTAGTCTATGGTGCAATGCCTCGACACCAGCAACACAAGTGTCAGTGTTCCACGTGTTGTTGCAGTTTGTCCAGGGTAGGACGGAACTGAAAGAGGATACGGCGTAGTAAATCGCCCAGCCACAGATTACGTTCAGATAGACGGCAGACCCAACACATATGATCAGCATGCCAATACCGATACCTGCACACAAAAAAACAAATAACGTGATATGTTGAAGAACTGGTTGAAGAACAGCTTGGTGTTATTCTGAGCTACTTGATTTCATCAACTTTGTCATTAACTTTTCTTTTTTTATGTTATTTGGTTACACGTTACATATAGAATGTTTTATAGCCAGAATGGAAGCCAATTTTACCCACTTATAATATTATTGTTTCTGTTCCCATTGCTTGTGCTAGAAGAGATATCATAGTGTAAACAAAAGAGGCTGCTGTGTAGTTTAGTGATTTAGGACTTCACCCGCCCGAACGCCTTGGTTCGATTCACAACAAAGATATAATATACTGAGTCAAAAAAGAAACTTCACATTCTTTCTTCAGGGCACTATTAAAGAACAAGAGATGGTAAGATGGTTAAATTGTTATTATTTCATTGCTGAGATCTGTGTGATGTACTCGATACACTGACAGTGCCATAATCAGTTCCATTAGGCTACACCGCCGTCCAAAACATGGGTGTACAGAATGTCAAGTCACAAGAATAAAAATGCGAAATGTCTCAGTTCAATATCGTGTATGGCCGCCCCGCGCATTCACCACTGCCAAACACCGTCTCCTCATCGACTGCCTGATGCTTGTGAACACGTGGTTGGGGATTCAGCGCCAAGTTCCTGCAAATTCTGAGGCTGGTTCCTAAGACCACGAAGCCTTCTCCCAAGTGCATCGCAAACGTGCTATGAAGGAAATTTCGTGTCAACATCGCGGTATGCGGCCGAGCATTATCATGCTGGAACTGTAGACCTGGGCCATGAGCCGCCATGAAAGGAACGAGTTCAGGGGTGAGCACCTGGTCGGGGTAAGCAGCAGCTGTGAGGTTTCCAAGGATGACCAGAAGTCGGGAACGGTTGTTCCCACAGAAAGCACCCAACACCATGCAACTTCCGCCCCCGAATCTGTCGACTTCCTGTACACAACATTGGGCATACCGTTCACGACGTCGTCTCCAGACTCTATGCCTGCCGTCTGCGAATCTGAGGGTAAACCTGTATTCATCGCTAAAGACAACTCGATTCCAGTTTCTCTGGGTCCATCGGAGGTGACGTTGGGCCCACAGCAGACGTTGACGTTGATGAAATGGCGTCAATATTGGCCAACGATATGGACGTCGAGAATGGAGATTGGCAGCCCGCAACCGATTTCGAATGGTCTGTGAGGACAGCCGACCTCTAAACAACTCAGCCCTGGTTCGTGTAGCCGGCAGAAATCTGTCACGTAGGTGACGTAGGACGATTTGACGGTCTTCTGCTCGTGACGTCACACGTGGACGACTCGACCTTGGGCGATCAGAAGTGGTGCCAGTTTGTTGTAGACGACCTCGCAAGTCATACACAGTGCGACGGCTGCATCCCATTGCTCTTGCGACGTCAATAACTGATCTTCCTGCTTGCAATATGCCAACGGCACGTTCACGTTGCACATTAGACAATCATGGCATTTCAAGTACCGTTAGAACTGTGGTTTAAAAGCATTTTTTCAATTCTTGAGGCCAATGCAAACACGTGCATATGAAGAAAACTTCGATGCGAAGATCAAATGATCGACTGCACGTGCAAAACCTGATTTGGCACTAACGTCATTTGCACGAGGAATGGATGGGTTTGAGTGGGTTTTGCTAACGTTTCTCTAGAGTCGAAAGATAGGGATCCCTTTTCGGATACATAGATGTATCATCAGAGAAAAATTATTCATTATTTTTCAAATTACATTTTGTGAAGTTTCTTTTTTGACTCAAAAAGCAACTAAACTCCTACTCACTCATTCACCCTCTCCTTCACGCACGTACGCACGCTCTATCGGACACTAATTCACTTACTCACACACTATACCCAACAATGTTTAAAAGGTTCGTAATCACATAACTCTTGTCACTTTCCATATTTGCTCTTACAAGCAAACCGTTATACAGCCTACCAGAGATATATAGTCCATTTACAGCAATTTGGATGCAATTTGTGCCAGGAAAAACATATCATAGTAAAAAACCAAAAACTGCTGTGTAGCCTAGTGGTTTAGACGAATGAACGCTTGGGTTCGATTCGCCACATGGTTACAATTTGTGAAGTCCATTTCTACTGTGGTGAGTTCTTCTTCAAAGAGCAACTAATTTCCTACTTCCTCACTCAAGTATATTCAACAATGTTTCAAAGGGTTTGTAATCGCATAACTCTTATGTCACTTTTATATTTGCTCTAACAAGCAAACTGTTATGTAGCATACCAGAAATATATGTTACTGTTACAGTTGTCACCAACCTTTCATCAAAGGACACAGGCTCCAGACGTGGGAAGGACTCATTCCTGAAAACTGCCCCAGAGCAACCTCGAGAAAGACCAGAGGAAGGCCACACAGCACAAGACACACGACGAAAGGAATCAAGAACGCCCCTAAAACAAACAGACATTTCGTTGTTTTAGTTCAAGTACATACTTCATGCCCTTTTGGAAGAGTAATCCTAAACTGGTTCATACGATTTAAGGTAATTCAGTCAGTAACGAATGTTTAATGTTCATAATGCATTTGTATTGGAAAAACACACATAACACGTGCCGAATAAGGATAAGCATGGATAGTATGAATCGAAAACATGGACTCATTAATAAATATTGGTCAGCTAAATGTTTGTTGATTTCTTGTTTAACACCGCACTCTGTGGTACTCTGGCTATGTGGTGTTGATCTGTAAATCATCATATGTGGACTAGACAATCCAGTGATTGACATCGTCGGCATCGATCTACGCAATTGGGATAAGATAACATGCGCCAAAAAACAAGTCCACAAGTCTGAACACCTTATCCCCTCAGTCGACTGCAACGACAAACTTGGGTTGGTGAAGATCACATTTGGTCCGGATGTTCACAGGTAAAAACATGAATGAGTTCATGAAAAACACCACTACACGTGTAACACCAACATCAGCAGATCTAATGATATTGAGTGAACATATGTGAAGGATTAATTTAAACGTTGAAACAAAACATGAATTATAGACATGAAGTAAATCTTGGAAGATCTTAACAATTGATACCTCCACCGTTTCTCTGGCAGATGTACGGAAATCGCCAGACGTTGCCAAGGGCTACGCAGAAACCAATCATGGACAGCAGGTATTCTATCTGGGAAGCCCAGTGTTCTCTCTCCTCTCGCCGTTCCATTTCACCATGGTCGGAGTCCTCAGAGTCCGTCACATCCGTCACAGCAACTTCTACCTCATAATTACGGTTGGAATGCATTCTGTAAAAGATATGTATAGTAGGACATGATCTCACTAACAAACTACAAGGTGTCCAGGGTAGTTATGTTCCAGGAATTAGACGGTACTTTGAAGGTACGCAATGTTTGATTCATTTCAGGTAATTAGCGTCGACTATGTCGTGGCTTAATCGTAACCAACACCTGTATTGACTTACCTTCACCTGGAACAACTGTATACCCTCGTTCCTCGGTACTGATAATTAGGGATGAGCAAGAGGTACTCGGTCAGTACCCAAGAGACCTTGGACCTTTCACTGTAGTTCCTTTAGCAATCACAAGCAATTCTTTTTACAGCTTTTATTCACTGTTGGTTTTGCTTGTTCAACCAACTCTATTTGTCACAACAACAAGGCTTCAGTCTCAGTCACAAAGATGGCGCTTTGAGCTTCTTAGTGGGAAAGTTGGTGACATTCTGACGAGAGTGGACGCGTACCAGACTACTATAATAGAAATGTTTGTACCGAGACATTAATAACTGACACCCAGCGTGATGTAGATAATTTACA